AAAATAAAAGGAGGCCCACACCACACAACAGCTAAACAAAGTCTTTCATCTTCACCATTTCTTTCATATATGCTTATTACACTGCTGCCTTTTCATTGTAAGGTCCCAAAGGCAGTCTCACTTGGAAGGAACATGGTTGTTCAGAAACATAGACATCAGCATTATAATCACAGGAGAATTAAAATTGGTCATCTCTTGCTCCATAATTGTTCTCACAGTAACTTCTCATGTATCAATGACACCAATTTCTTTGATTTATATAAAATCCTATTAACAAGTCAAGAACCAGAGACATCAAAGCTTTACATTGGTTCTTCTACATACAAATGTCAGCATGGACCACAAATTTTCCCAACTGCCTCATGTAATCCAGAAATTTGTGGCATCAGCTCTTATCAGCACCTTCATCAAATGCACCGGAGTTCACAACTCGGAAGTCCAGTTGCTTCTGATGCTTCAAGCGACGGCGTTCATCGAAACTTTCCCATCCTTCCGTCTGTGAAGATATTGCTGTTATATCATTAAAATTAACAAATTAGACTACTTGGCACAATGACATTTGATGCTAAAGTACACACCTGACGAAGAACATCCATGGTTATCTCTGTGTTGTGCAAATCAAGTGTTGTGAGCTGTAGGCACTTTTTGAATAGCGTAGAAGGAAGGGATTTCAACCCATTGTTGCTGAGACACAGAGACTGCACAAAAGTAAAAGTTTTGGAATGAATATCAGCCTGGAGATGAAGCACAAAATAGATGAGGTTGCTGCAATTCCTCTAAAAGAGCTCAAGAAAATTAGACTAAAATGATATTTTTACTTACCTTCAAGTAAAAGTTCACTAAATTTCAAAACTTTTTTGTGTGTGATTAACTGGCATAACAGGCAGTAGAAAGAGTCAAAGTTTAGGATGGCACAATACAGTAACCATTAGGGTTTAGGCCAGGTACAGGGAAAAGGAATAGGCGGATGCTTGGGGTACAGAGACAATGGCAGACATCAACAGGATGAGCAGTGAAAGCAGGTGCAATATGAATAAACTCTTATTTCCTACGTGAATAAGACAACCCTAACAACACAATGAAAATTAATCTTTGAAAAAAAATGGAAAATATATTTTATTACGGAAAACGTAAACTGTGTAACCTCTCCAGAACAACCTACAAATTACAGTTCCATATCAAAACAAAGGAAGCTCTCTCTCTCTCTCTCTCTCTCTCTCTCAGGGTCAAGAAGGGAAACTCTTAAACGTTTAAAGAGAATTTGAGTTTTTGAAGGAAAACAAGAAAGAAATAGGGATAATAAGTTCAAAACACTAGGAATTAGTATAGACCTTTAGATTATGCAAATTGCCAAATGTCTCAGGCAACTCGGATAGAAGATTTGATGAAACATCAATCTGCACCATGCCAAAAGCAAGTCAGATAAATGGACAAATCTACCCAAAATTAATTTAAAAAAAACAAAAAACAAAACCAGCCCTCCCAAAAGAAATGAAGAAAAGGAAAACATTACTACCTCAATAAGACCAACACAGTCCCGTATGCACGTAGGCATGGTGCTTATCCTGGACACAGAGACAGATGGGTAAGTTTAATCAAGACACAAGCCATTGTTATCAAACATAACTTGCATATTTAAGAAGTAGTTACTTCATCAACATAGCATTAATGCATAAAGGGGAAAAACTTAACAACCTACAAAACATGTTTAAAAAAAAAATCAAAATTTCCACTGAAACTAAATATTTTAGTTTCTGTATTTAAGACATAAAAGCATTTAGAGGAAAGAAAAGTAAATGTGAAATATTAAGTGCAGCTGCACGTCCACAATGTGAAATATATATAATTTAAAATGATCATACCACATTAAGCAGAAAAGACATGCAAGGGAAGAAAAAAAAAACAGATTTTGATTCCGTAATTCCCAATAAGAAAAAACATGTCCTTGCTTAAAGTACTTTCAAAATCACCTGTTATTGTTGACTTTCAGAACTTCAAGCTTAGTCAAAAGTCCTATTTCATTTGGGAGGCTAGACAATTTGTTGTTTGCAACGTGAAATTGCTTCAGTGATGTCAACAAGCCGAATGCAGGTGGCAAAGTCGTTAAACTGCATAAATTGTGCAATTCATCAAGCATCCAACATAATGTCAAGAAGTAGAAAATGAAAGCCACCCCAATTTAATGTGACATCATAAAGCACAAAAGATACTCAACTGGTTTTGGTCCAGAGACAGAACAGTTAGAAACTTCAAAGATACTAGAGCTTCCCAGTTAATAGAATTGTCCAATATATCATTTGCAGAGAGGAACAATTTCTACAAAATGTAGAGAATGAAGTGAAACTACGCATAAGTTATGGAAATAATTTGATGAAGCTGGAGAGGAAATGCAAGAAAGAAACAGAGCTTTGTATACCTGCAAGGAACTTAGACAGCCAATCTTGGCAGGTACCACTGGAATAGCATTATTGCTGAGCTCAATGACTCTTGCAGAAGCTCCACAAGCCCACACTTCATCGGGTATAGCCTTTTCAAATTAAACCAACACAAATTTTCAACATTGGAAAACGTTAGGTCCTCTATAATATTACTTGGAAACAATTATCAAAATCGACATTCCCCTGCTAAGAGATTCCCATGTGTTATGATTCTAAGTCCCAATTAATTGTCTGAAGGAAAAACAATTCTGAAAGGCATACTACTTCTGTTAACAACCTCAAAACTTGTCTACCAAGCCAAACAGACGTTAATATAGATATCCATAATGTAAAATGTGATTAGAAAAATGCAAACAGTCCAAAAAGGGACAATCACCAAAGACTAGTTTTTTATACCCTCAAGTTGCAGTCACGGAGTCCAATAACCCCAGTAGCTTTCCATCGATCCAACCGGTTCTTATCAACAGAAACTTCTGTCTTTTCTTTTCCCAATGTAGTAGCATTGTTGGCTCTGGAAATGGGGCGTGTGGGAGCTTGTTTTAGGATGGGCCCGTCCTATTCAAACAAAAATTCCAGAAGTACTACATTATCAATAACGCATTTTCTATAACTCAACACTTCCAAAAACGCATAAATCTCCACAGTTACTATAATCCAAAGTTTCATGAAATTTATGACCAACATTTTTACTCGAGAAAAAATAAATTAAAGATCTTTGTTTGATAAAATTGCTTTCTTCTCATTTATTTTCTCAACTACCAAACAAGTGGGTCCTTCCATCTCCATCAAAATCAAATTCCCAATTCAAGTTCAGATTTCAAGAAAGCAAAAAGATAGAAAAGAATTGAGTTTTATCTACAATACCCCTTGATGCAAGCCCTGAGAAGCCATGAGCATGATCCTGGACCCATTAGCGACCTCAGACTCCTCCAGTGTCATTCCATCCACCAAAAGCTTCCCTATCACAAAATACCCAGAACCCAAAAATTAAAATAAAACTGAAAATGAAAAACTTGCCATTCATAATTCATTACAGCTCAGAGAAATTCAATCAAATTTTACAGAGGAGAAAAAGGAGACACCTTTGCAAATGAGCTTTTGGCCACGAGGGAGGACATTGGTGAGAGGTTGCAGAAGGGACTTGAGGTCTTTGATGGTTGAGTCCGGAGAAAGATTTGTGATGGGTATGGTTCTGCCACTGAACTTCACGCTGAGGCTTATGTTGGCTCCGGTATCCTCACCGCCGGTGACACTACTCTCCATTTCCTCTCTTCGCAAATTGCAGTGAGTTCTTGGTGTTGGTCGTCTTCTTGGTAATTCTCTGTGGTGAATAATTTGCAGATTATTCATTTTACGTTCGTATTTATATACACACCCAAAAAATGAATAATTTGTGACAAAAGTCAGCTCCAAGCACAGTGCAAATTTTATGGGCCGAGAGGTCTGGGCCAGCCCGAAATGCAACCCAAATCCATTTCAACAATGTAGGAGTCTATCTAAACAAAAAGTTAAGGGCATTTCGGTCCTTTGACACAAATGGTGTTCATTAAGAAGACAACGTTTTGGTTTGGTTAGGGCTCTCTTCTTCTTCTTTTAACTCCGTGCATCATACTCTCTACAAGGGTTGAACAGTAAGTACTAAATTCTAACCAAAAGATTTCCATTATCCCTATTCTCTCTGCCTATTTGTTGTTGTTGTTGTTGTTGTTGTTTTATTTGTTTGTATATGTTTTGAACATCTCTATTCTTTCTGCCTATGCCTATATGTACTGTTTTAGTTTTAGTTTTCTTTGGTTGCTTTCATTTTGATATTTTGATCCTTACAAAAGTTATGCAACTGTGTCTGTTAAAGGGAGCTGTAATATATTGAAGACAATGCTGAAGAATGAGTTGCTTTCGTACGTCAAGATGTGTGGTCGTCAGCCATGTCGTCTAAGTATTTGTCAATAACTATGTTCTTATTTCTTTTCCGAGCGTGAGATTTTTGTCGTTAAAACTGAAGAAAGTGAAATTTTGAAAACTACAACCAAACCACCGCCCCCGGACAAGGATTGGTATTTGTACCTGAACTTGTGCAAAAGGAGCTCTGGCAAGGCTCCTAGGTTTGAAAGTGTATTTGACGATATTAGGATTTCGGACGACAATGATTGGATGGGACTTGGGCGGTCGAAGGGCAAGAGGCCAGGTAGGCAAATGATTGTTGGTTCCAAATTCTATAGGGTGCAGGGTGAATTCGACAGCAGATTTTCTGAGACTCATAAAATCATTGACTATAATAGCATGGGTTTTAAGTCAACTGTTGAATGCTTTAACCTTTCAACCGAAAATAGTTATTTCTTTGTTAATTTAATCTATTCAGGTTCACACAAGGGATTGAAATAACAGAAAATAACCCGAGAGTTGTGACAAATATTTGCATGTTGAAATTGATCACAAAACAATGTCAACTTCAATTAAATCAGCGCGTATGCATGTGTGATAAGTTTACACTCAAGAAATGACGAATTATATGTAAATCACTTGGAAGTTCAAAAAGAAAATGGTAAATATTCTAAGTCCCAATTAATTGTCTGAAGGAAAAACAATTCTGAAAGGCATACTACTTCTGTTAACAACCTCAAAACTTGTCTACCAAGCCAAACAGACGTTAATATAGATATCCATAATGTAAAATGTGATTAGAAAAATGCAAACAGTCCAAAAAGGGACAATCACCAAAGACTAGTTTTTTATACCCTCAAGTTGCAGTCACGGAGTCCAATAACCCCAGTAGCTTTCCATCGATCCAACCGGTTCTTATCAACAGAAACTTCTGTCTTTTCTTTTCCCAATGTAGTAGCATTGTTGGCTCTGGAAATGGGGCGTGTGGGAGCTTGTTTTAGGATGGGCCCGTCCTATTCAAACAAAAATTCCAGAAGTACTACATTATCAATAACGCATTTTCTATAACTCAACACTTCCAAAAACGCATAAATCTCCACAGTTACTATAATCCAAAGTTTCATGAAATTTATGACCAACATTTTTACTCGAGAAAAAATAAATTAAAGATCTTTGTTTGATAAAATTGCTTTCTTCTCATTTATTTTCTCAACTACCAAACAAGTGGGTCCTTCCATCTCCATCAAAATCAAATTCCCAATTCAAGTTCAGATTTCAAGAAAGCAAAAAGATAGAAAAGAATTGAGTTTTATCTACAATACCCCTTGATGCAAGCCCTGAGAAGCCATGAGCATGATCCTGGACCCATTAGCGACCTCAGACTCCTCCAGTGTCATTCCATCCACCAAAAGCTTCCCTATCACAAAATACCCAGAACCCAAAAATTAAAATAAAACTGAAAATGAAAAACTTGCCATTCATAATTCATTACAGCTCAGAGAAATTCAATCAAATTTTACAGAGGAGAAAAAGGAGACACCTTTGCAAATGAGCTTTTGGCCACGAGGGAGGACATTGGTGAGAGGTTGCAGAAGGGACTTGAGGTCTTTGATGGTTGAGTCCGGAGAAAGATTTGTGATGGGTATGGTTCTGCCACTGAACTTCACGCTGAGGCTTATGTTGGCTCCGGTATCCTCACCGCCGGTGACACTACTCTCCATTTCCTCTCTTCGCAAATTGCAGTGAGTTCTTGGTGTTGGTCGTCTTCTTGGTAATTCTCTGTGGTGAATAATTTGCAGATTATTCATTTTACGTTCGTATTTATATACACACCCAAAAAATGAATAATTTGTGACAAAAGTCAGCTCCAAGCACAGTGCAAATTTTATGGGCCGAGAGGTCTGGGCCAGCCCGAAATGCAACCCAAATCCATTTCAACAATGTAGGAGTCTATCTAAACAAAAAGTTAAGGGCATTTCGGTCCTTTGACACAAATGGTGTTCATTAAGAAGACAACGTTTTGGTTTGGTTAGGGCTCTCTTCTTCTTCTTTTAACTCCGTGCATCATACTCTCTACAAGGGTTGAACAGTAAGTACTAAATTCTAACCAAAAGATTTCCATTATCCCTATTCTCTCTGCCTATTTGTTGTTGTTGTTGTTGTTGTTGTTTTATTTGTTTGTATATGTTTTGAACATCTCTATTCTTTCTGCCTATGCCTATATGTACTGTTTTAGTTTTAGTTTTCTTTGGTTGCTTTCATTTTGATATTTTGATCCTTACAAAAGTTATGCAACTGTGTCTGTTAAAGGGAGCTGTAATATATTGAAGACAATGCTGAAGAATGAGTTGCTTTCGTACGTCAAGATGTGTGGTCGTCAGCCATGTCGTCTAAGTATTTGTCAATAACTATGTTCTTATTTCTTTTCCGAGCGTGAGATTTTTGTCGTTAAAACTGAAGAAAGTGAAATTTTGAAAACTACAACCAAACCACCGCCCCCGGACAAGGATTGGTATTTGTACCTGAACTTGTGCAAAAGGAGCTCTGGCAAGGCTCCTAGGTTTGAAAGTGTATTTGACGATATTAGGATTTCGGACGACAATGATTGGATGGGACTTGGGCGGTCGAAGGGCAAGAGGCCAGGTAGGCAAATGATTGTTGGTTCCAAATTCTATAGGGTGCAGGGTGAATTCGACAGCAGATTTTCTGAGACTCATAAAATCATTGACTATAATAGCATGGGTTTTAAGTCAACTGTTGAATGCTTTAACCTTTCAACCGAAAATAGTTATTTCTTTGTTAATTTAATCTATTCAGGTTCACACAAGGGATTGAAATAACAGAAAATAACCCGAGAGTTGTGACAAATATTTGCATGTTGAAATTGATCACAAAACAATGTCAACTTCAATTAAATCAGCGCGTATGCATGTGTGATAAGTTTACACTCAAGAAATGACGAATTATATGTAAATCACTTGGAAGTTCAAAAAGAAAATGGTAAATATCTTTGGATCTAACATGAAGCGTATGGCATCGACCAACTTTTCAAGTGAGAATTCATCAGCTGGAATGGGTGCAGGACCTACTCCTATGGCATGCACCCTCTCCCCCCAAAATGGCTGGTCCCCAAAGAATGGTACAGTTGTGGTTGGACACTAAAAAGAACAGAGAATATGAGCCAAAAATGAGTAACTGGATCATTTACAGATGTAAGACTCCCCAAGAATATAGCATTATCAGTTACCGCAGCTTTCAGACCAGCAGCAGTTGTCCCAGCAACCCCATGATGCACCTAAGAAATTTTTTCAAATCCAGTGAGAAACCAGAAGTAGCCTAGTTATCCAATAGGGGAACAAAACAACAAAACAACAAAAAGGTGCATCAAGTTCATGTGACGTTCTGAACACCAGTGCAGTGAAATCCCAACCAAATTAAAAAGAATTAAAAGCATTGAAATTTACCACAGCAGAGCATCGTTGGAATAGCCAATCATGGGGGCAATTGTCCACTAAATACACAGAATCACTTGGTTCTGCCACTGAGAAGAGAAATATATGAAGGCTTTCAGATGTAAAGAAGCATAAGAATACAATGTGCTTGAAAGTAATCTTTTTTTAAGAATCAAGACTTACAATTACCAAGGCCACCCCAGCCTCGGTTGATGACGACTCTCTGTCTAGTTATTTCCAGAGCTTGAAGGATAATATTGGTCATTTTCTCTGGTTCTTCAAGAGGCTAATACAATACACATAAAAAAAAATTAGCAAGCAAGACAATTTAGCATTTCAATCAAATGCACAATCAAGTAACCTTTACTATGCAATTCAGAGGTATACTCTGCATGTATTAGACATGCCTCAGTCAAATTAGATATTGAACAACTGAACAACCAAAGGGTCGATTTGTCATCTGTCATGAATAGACCTCCACAACCTGTTCGTTGGGGACCAACATGAAGGTGGTCACTCTGGAGATTGTGGCTTTGGTTGATTATTTTAATTGGGAAGGAACAAGTAATTTTTTAGGGTAAGGACAAACAGAGCTACTCTGGGATAGAACTGGAAAAAGAATATTAAACATGAATAGAGAAAGCTGCAACAACTCACAAGGCTATCAAATCCACTATAGACAGGCTGTTCACCAACTTCAAGCCACTCCGCAAGTGAATCTGGGGGTTCATAATTTGAAGCAAGGTCAAGAAAACAAAAAACAACAACATCAACCTTCGGTCCCCAATCTGCCAAACAAGTAAAACGTAGAGCATACTGTATTCTCATTTGGTCAAGCTGGTCTATTTCTACCACATCAAATCATATTCCTGAGGCTTCTGCAATATTATCAGTATACTATTGCTAGAACAAGAAGAAGCCCATGTAATAAGAGAAGCTTAATAATCCCAAACCACCATGAGGATTCTGAAATGACCATGTATGATACGTTTCCTTTGGATGATACGCCTTCTTTTGTATGATACGTTTCCATTATAGCCGCAAGGCTCCACTCTATAAATAGAAATTATACACGGCTATACTTTCCAATTACATTCGAATATTTTAAACGTAGAGCCGAGCGGCTATACTCTTTAAATATATTGGAACGAACACGAAGCTTGAACTCGCAGAGGACGGAACTTTCTCTCACTGCTTCGTCCTCCGGGTTCGGCACCCAAAAAAGACCCAACCCACCTAGGCGCCCGCCTAGTTACTACCTAGCCGCCTAGAAGCCTAGCCGCCTAGAAGCCTAGCGCCCGCCTAGCCACCGCCTAGCCGCCTAGCCGCCTAGCGTCCGCCTAGACACCGCCTATCGCCAGCCTAGCAGCCTAGCTTCAGCCTAGCTGCCTAGCCCGCCTAGTTCGACTTTTGGAACACTGTGATTGACTGGAAGTCTAAAACCCGAATTTGAAAAAACTTAGCTGCAAATTTGCGATTGGGAAGCCGAAGCAGTGAAGCACAAGTCAGGTCCATAGAAGAAGAGATCATGAGACTTTTAATTCATCTAATTCCATTCCTCTCCCTGTTTCGCGCCTCATATTCTTCTCTCTTCTCACTGACGACATGGCGCAGAAGAAAAAAATACAAAATTTGCTGACTTGGTGTCTGTCTTCTGTGGAAGGAAATGATGAAGTTGTCCTAATGTAAGATTCTCCTACCAGAGCGGAGGGGGAGAGAGAAAGATATCTCTCTCTCTCTCTCTCTCTCTCTCTCTCTCTCTCTCTCTCATGTACAGTATTCTACTAGCCTAAACAATCAAAAGTTACCTATGCAAAATCCATTCATTGTAGTGTTATTGCATTCAATCAAATCACAACCAACAATTTCTCCAATTCATATTATATCATGCAGGGCCAGCCATCTATGTTTAGTGACTATAACAAGTCAGCAAGTTAGTCACGACTCACGAGCACAACTTGATAGACACGGTGAAAGCTTGACTTTAATTTGGCTCCTCACATTACTAGCATTATTCATTGTAGTGGGATTTCTTTTTTTCTTTTTTTTTCTTATTTTATTTAAAAATACCATGAGGTGTGTCCCCACACCCGAAGAGTGGGATTAATCTCGGTCGGGCAAAACATACAAAATTAAGACTAAGAACTTGTTGACTGTAAAGGAAGGGAACATAAATGTAGCCTTAAAGCTCGTAACTTGCCTATATAGATGTGAAATAGATGCAGATACTTGACTGAGCTCATTTCTCTGCTAGGGTGTTAGGACTCTTTCTTGCCATTTTAGGTTAAGTAAATGGCTCTTAGAATTATAGTTGTTTACTCTCCCCCCAAGTCTTTGATTAATATAGGCCATACAAAATTCAAAGAAACATATAAGTTCACCTGCTTCAAAACAAACAACCGTCGATCAGAAAGAGTTGGTGGTATGATATCACCATATACACGTTTTGCCTCCTCAGCATACAACTCAATAAACCCAGCCCCGTAACTCACCTGTAATATGAGTTTGAAATTTGAATCACATGATGAAAGTAAGATGCAAAGCTACAGCTAATTGCTTAAATCCCTTAAACAGAAGTCTGAAATAGGATACCTCACCAATGGCTTCTTTTAGAGGTTTCCCTTGCTCCAAGGTAATGAGTTGTCCAAGCTCTTCTTTGTGGGAAATTAGTAGATCATACCTTGAGAGATGGGAAGGAATATAAATATCAAGAACAAATAAATTTTTTTACAAAACCAGATATAGAATCACAGGACAGCAATTATACCATTTCCTTAGACATTTGATTACTCTAATTCTTTTTCCTTCGATCTTCCTCTGTAAGAACAAACCAAACTCAATTTCTGATTTACTTCTCAATTTTCGACATGACAAATGAATAAACCAACCTAGAAAACCAAATGAACGTTAAAACCAACCTTTTTTTACGAAACCTAGAAATAGCTAAACCCGTGCGATGAGAAGAAGGATGAAGGGCAGCTGGAACGGCAACACTCGAATGCAACAAACAAAAGAAGCAAAGAGATAAAGCCAAGAAGCAGAAATAAAATTTCAGCCTTCTCCAATATTAAATTAAAAAGACAAATTAAATGAAGGACTTACGGATCAAATCCCCTATACTCAATGTCGCCACCATCATCTTGCACTGCTGGTCGGATGTGAGTCTCCAACAATTCTTTGATCATTGCAACGATTTCTGAATCATCCTGCAACAGAAACCGCCAACATGGTTGTATATTTGGGATTTATGCACAAAAGAATTGATAAAACAAACACTAAAGAATGGTTAAATATATTCTCCAAAGTTCCAGTTCTAATTTCTGATCTTTCAACTTGACCAGCTTTGTCCATCAGAGCCACATACTTGTATACAGCATGCCTCATCACTGAGGTTTCCACAGAATTTTAAAAAGTGTTATCCATTTTGATGACTCAGCCCATATTTCTCTAATTACACCAAAAAGAATCAAAGGTCTTTGACATTCAGTAAGTGCATATGAAGTTATTGTAGTTAAGCTTAATTAGTGGCTCTGTTTTATGTGGGGTTCAAAATAGAAAAATAAGCATAGGAAGCTGGATATTATTTACTTTGGCTTGCTTATGAAGTATACGATTTAGTATGCGGTCCCAGCCATTTTTGGGGTGAGAAAACAAATGGATCAACCAATCATTCTTTAAAAAACAGGTGATATCCAGTGTATGTTGATTCTTTTGTCTCTCTTTTCCTTATCTATCAGTTTCTTGATTACTTCAACCACATAATTACATAGCCTCAAAATACAACCAACCAACCAACTTTAAGCAAAAACTTAAATTTCAGGATTCTAACAGTGTAACTACAAATGAATTCTAACATTACACATCACGAAGCATGAAACTTAAATTGAATCCATACAACCAAAAACTAATATGAAATGCACAGTGAAATCCAAGTACAAAGGAAAACATGATTAGACATTCATGAAACCCAGAACTGAAATCAAAGCGTTACCTAAGAAAGAAAGAAAAAAGGAAGTGCAGGGTTTCTTGCAAGTCATATTCATCATGTTCATGCTTTAAAAAATCATAAACTAAAGTGAAACAATATGCAGATGCCATAAAAATAAATGCAATTTAGGTAAGAGAAAACTGAGATGGAGAGAAAAGGAAATTTGTTAATTTATTTTGCTTTGCTAACAATATCCAGAAGACACACAACTAAATTAATAAAATTTCATATGGCAGTTCAACTATTTTGAGCTTAAATATTCAAGGAGAATAAGCACGTAAAATAATAATGGAAAAAAAAAAACTCGAGGAACATGCCACTGATTTGTGACATGAATATAAGAAAGAATCAACATCTTCATAAAGACAGTTAAAAATCCAAAATGGTTGAAACTGCAAAACAAAGATATAGTTCTTTTTCTTCAAAAATCCCAACTTCAGTGGTATTTAAAAAAGAATTTATTGCACCCTTAATCTTCGTATCAGAACAATCAATTGACAGGCATGATTAGAAAAAAGGGAAATGCCAAGCCAACAAAAATTGCAGACACAGCCGTATGAATAAACACATGGCTGGCACATCAGCACTTTGAAAAAGGCTGTTGCATCTTAACTTTTCCCACTCGAATATTCAATC